AAACATAGCGAGCACGTGCGTTTGTGGGACAACACGTGTGTTTGTGAGACGCGCGCGTATTCCTAGCGTTGTTCTGATTAGTCAGTTGTTAAGTTTGATTGACACTCCGGAAAGGTCTATTTATTGTAGATCGTTTTGTGTGTATCGCTTTTCTGGGATTTCAGTTTTAACTTAAATACATCAATAGAGGGAGACAGTTTGATAGAGAGTGGCAATTCGTTCCACAGCGCTGAAGCAGTATAGGCGAATGTTATTTTGCCGTATGTTTTTGTTTTAAATTTTGGGGTGACGAGAAGATATTTGTTGTCAGAGCGGAGTTGTCGGTTAGGGACATAAAATTTCAGAAGGTGAAAGAGATAGGAGGGTTGTTTAGATTGAAGAACCTTAAAACAAATGATAAGAATCTTAAAACTGATGCGTAGTCGGAGAGGCAGCCAATATAGATTTCGAATGATCGGATATTATTATTGTCATTGAATATTTCTACGTCTAACTAACTTAAAATTGACCTCAATTTTCAATCAACATAAATAGTAATTTTCGAGTCAGCAGTCGTCCCGGCTGACTTGTTGAAGCGTCTGCAGTTAATTGAAAAATCGAAGTACCGAGATTTCTTTGCTTATGATTCTTGAATATATGTCTGCATGTTCATATTTTCAAATAAAACTGAATTATAAGAGCCTGTAAATAGTGAATTTAATTTTGATGGTATTTGATGCAAGAGTAGTATGGTTTGGTTTAGTAGTGTGGTTTCGCTCGCTAAGGTGTTCGCCCAATCACAGAAACCTTCTCTGGCTACAGGCTGCACTAGAATATTTACAATGTCTTTCGGTCTATTAACTTATGTTTAAAAAGATATGCTAGGGATTACCTTTAATTTTATTATTGAATATAATAGAGATAGACCTAGGCCTATTTAGATTTTTTTTTTTTATTGCAACAAAAAAAAGAAGATTATCGATCATCATATGTCATTTACTATTTTTAAATATATTAATAATAATATTATTAATCAATATACAGTATTATTATTAATGATAATTATAATAAAGGCCTAATATTACGATAATTAATTATTTTTATTAAGTGGGATTTCTATGCCGTATTCATTGATTTCATAAAAAAAAACATTAATATACGTTTCGACATAATACTTATAACAAAGATTATGATTAATGTATGTGATGATTATTTATATTGAAATAAATGCTCCCTGTGGGAACGAATATATAAGGCCTAAAGCTGAAACATGCTGCCTTTCATGAGGAGAATATTCAACATGATTTATATAGGCTTACAAATATAATTCAGTTATGAATACGAATGGATGCTAATAGAAAGGAATACAGACAAAAACTTAGTTCGGTATATAATCCAATTAAATCTGGTACTTTATGAAGCCCACGAAGCTCGCGAAATAATTTCTTAAAACCATCATCATCAATATTATTATTAGGCCTACCATTAATGATTATTATATTGTTTAAACTATTGTGAGCTTTAATTACAATTATATATTTTTCTATGCTGAAAGAGCATCAGATATCAGGAACAGTACAACAGCGGCCAATAATGCGTCTCTTAGGACAATTTTGCGAACGGTTACTGGGTTGCTCAATAAACCAGGCAATTACAGTTTTCTGTTGAAAGTTGTTTTTATCCTTTAATCTCGTTTAAGACGCCAATGCTTGCAAGGGGCGTAATAAAACGCTACTCTGTTTAAAACATTCGAGAAAGACAATGCAAAATATTAAGAACTACTGTACATTATATCTATTTTATATAATATGGTTACATTATACTATACAATAGAAATTGATTTAAAGATGTTCTAGTAAAATGTTGTAAATTGGCAAAAACGGAATTGTTTCTATTCACTATGTAGGGCACAAGGTTATATATCAAACTTACCTCAAATAATTTATCGTTGAAATGGTGTATCATTTTAAACAGACTTATTTTGCAATCATTCGCATCAAACCGAATGATGATGATACATTAGCGCGATAATATACAAAATCCATGCTAAGTGATAATATAATGTAGGCCTAATATTGCAATACGTGATCATTTGACGGATCCCACAACCGCTTGGCCTACAGTTGTCATGTATACATCTTGTCAATGTGTTTAATGAAAACAAAACAAAAAACAAGGATGTTGACGCACAGTTAAGTGGGGCTACTCGGCTCTATCAATTGAAAAACTACATTCTTAAAAAAATACAATGTGTCATTCATTAAATGTTAGTGGTTTACACAGAAAAATTGGGGATTCAGGAGATATAAATGTATCCGGGAAAAATCTGCATTTTTGACAAATTTGTCTTCTACATGAGGTGAGTAAATCGGTACATGATTTAAAGGGCCATTTTTTTTTCAACAACATCTTTTGACACGCTTTCAGATTGGCCGTTTAATATCTGATGTTTTAAGAAATAACTAAGTGATGTTTACATTTCTCTGACGTTAACAAGCAGAAAATGATTTCACATAATTTAAAATCATGTAGATCGTTCGTCCCAATAAATTCAAAATTATCAAGTGTTCACGTAATTTTGTGTGAGCTCGTATTAACCCTTATACAGTATGCATGTTGAAAATAAAAACATAATAAACTGTCTTTCCTGCAACGTAATAAACTCTTGTGATGCAAAACATTCACATTAGGCCTACGTAATCAGACGTGGGACACTTGTATATCGGTTAAATTTGAATTTAACGAGCTTGAATGTCTACACATTGACCCATTTATCAGGCTAATTAACACGAAATCCCCAGCGGTGTTAATGTATTATTAATTAACACCTACAATCCTCTATTTAAACAGTAATTCGAATTTCATTAAGGTTCATAAGCGAAGATAATACAAGGACACAGAATTGATGACAACAAAGGATTACTATACATTCTGCCATCATCTTTTTTATATACATCCAACCCTCTATTTAAACAGTAATTCGAATTTCATTAAGGTTCATAAGCGAAGACAATACAAAGACACAGAATTGATGACAACATATGATTACTATACATTCTGCCATCATCTTTTTTATATACCTCCATGGTGAAAAACTACGCCCAGCAACATTAACCAATGAGGAAATATTTTGTCTCCAACTTTGTCTCCAACTCAAACGTCGATAAATAATTTACAATGCCTACTTATTTATTAACTAACCAACTTTTTACATTCTATTTTTTTAAGGCCTAATATTCATGAATGTACTCTGAAATTTTCGGCCTATTCTACTTTTTGAAAATCTCTGATATATAATGCTCATTTAGATTATCACTGTTTCATGTCTACCCTGGCCTATATGATGTAATTCATAATAATATTAAAGCCTTATTCAGGGGTTGGTTGCCAACAATCACTAGTGATTTTAGTAGTAAATTGGTATCATCCAGTTGAGGCGCTCTCTTGGTTAAATATAGGCCTATATTCCCCCACTCAAAAAGTAGAACCTGTTAAATAGGCCTATTTGGTCTGTAGGGTATAGGTAATACCATTTGTTGATGGGGAGGGGGTATAATGAGGATGACTGCATTTGTTAAAATTTATTTACAGTACACCGGAAGACAAGGCCCTACTCTTTTCCGAAG